GTAATGGTTGGTTTTAATTCTTTTAGAAATATAATTGCCATTTCAGAGCTTATTTACACACTAAAGTTTTATATAAAAATATATTTTAGATATTCAACTAATATTTCAAAATATATAACTAGAAAAAGAAACAAATAAACTCACTTTTATTGATTTTTGTTACAAAATTTTCAGTTTTAGTGAAAAAGTCATTGCATAGTATTAAATTTTGGACAAATTGAAACTGTTGCAAAATGAAATATTTTTGTAACACAGATAAAATTGCAGTGTTTTAAAATTTATTCAGTTGTAAATAAAAAAGGTAATAGAAACGAACCTGCAAGAAATCCAATTGTGTCTTCATCACAAAGTTCATGTAGCTTGGAAGACTATATTCGTGTCTCCTAATCGGTAACGTAAAATAATTTACAACAAAATCATTTGTACCCGCACTCACGAGGTATAATGCATTGTTTATTATTTCTTTTGTTTTCTTCTTTCCGATCGCCGCAACCAGTTTAACTTTATACTCTTTGAAATACTCCAATTGTCGTGGCAATGGAATGACGTTCTGAAAAAACCAATCATTGAAATGCATGATGAGTCATTTTCATAATCGATCTCACAATTATTTGAATCAACAAATTGAAAAATACGCTTTCATCTATTTATCTTTATCTTCTGTTACATTTGTTGGCATATTTATGTCTCACGGCATGTTGATAGTTATGAACCGGGACCGGTATTGAGAAATCATTATCTTTAAATTTATATCTATATAATTTTATGATATAAGTACCGGATACAGAAAAATATATACAACTAAATTCCATAAATAATTGTAGTTCATTATTGTTTGCTATTATTCATATAGTTAGCCTAAATGACACATAAATAAACTCATATATACAGATATATACATATATGGGGTCAAGTTATGGTGAGAACCACCATTTTTTTGTGAAAACTTAAAGAAATGAATTGAATGTATCCCTCATTACCATTATTTTGTGTGAAAGTTTGTCCTGAGGACATATATAAAGATACATTTACATTGTTTGAATAATTTTCCAATAAAAAAGTGAACTTTTTCCATATAACCCTGGTTATACATATACATACATAGATTTGGGATCACGTGAGACTAACCTGTTTTCGTGAGACTAGCTTTTTACACTTGAAACTTCACAACAAAATGTTGTAAGGTAACCTTCACAGTGATTTTGCTGCGAAAGTTCGACTTTTTTAAACCTTCACAGTGTTTTTGCTGTGAAGTTTCAAGTGTAAAAATGTGATGTCACGAATCTCACGAAAACAGTCTGGTCTCACGTGAACTCAACCCTACATACATATATATATATATATATATATATATATATATAGAGAGAGAGAGAGAGAGAGAGAGAGAGACGCTTATCGTTGGTGTAAGAGGGTCGTATCCAGATCCAGCAGATGCAAAGCTAACTCCAGTCATGAAATCATGAATGGTAAGTGAAGGGTCCAAATATGCAGGTACATTATCCTTCACACCCACATGCCTTGCTACACAAATACAATATCCAAAACCACACCCAAATCTCATCAGATATCAAGAATCAACATTAACATTCACCTTGATCGAATCTCTTAATCTCAGATCATATTACTAGCTAATAACACCAAAATCAACAGTAGTAATGAACTTACCAATAAAATCACTAGTTAGCAATCCGTTGCTAAACCTTCCGGTGGGTTTTTGGTCTGCAAAATCCCTCCCATAAGGTGGGAAGTTGCCCTTGAAAGGTGTCAGAATGTAGTTGTTGTTTCCAGGATCAGAAGTGGAGTCTCCGAACACCAAAACAGCAGAAACCTTGTGGTGTTTCTTGACAAGATTTTGTGGTTGAGCATCGGATACGAAGACGACAAGAAGTAAGAAAACTGGAATATTTAGCTTTAAAGAAGAATTTAAGCGAGCAAGTGGTGTTGTCATTTTGGAAGGAGATTCAAGGAGAGTAGATGTGGTGACTTGAAGAAATAACAATGATAGGAAGATGGTTAAGTTGGCATGCATTCTTAAAATAGTTTTTCAAGTGTGGTTGGTCTGACTTGTATTTCATATTCACCAATTTCTACTACAATTCACCTTCATATAATATCCACATATCTATATACGGGTGGGTTCAAATAAAAACCACTCAATTTGTAAAAACCGTGAAAACCTCATCCAACCAATCATAATTTTTTATTTTGTTCATTTTTTTGTAATTATGAGAGGTTGATTAACCATTTTTATTGTGGAGGGTGTTAATCAGAGATATTATCATCTTTATTAATTTAATTTTAGAAAAATACATGAAACAGTTTCATTAAAATTTCATTAAGTAGTATATGAAACAATTTCATAACCACATATGAAACAACTTCATCAAAAAAAGTATTATATGAAACAATTTCACAAGATTAACAATTTCATGAAAAAATTTCATAAGATTAACGACGGAAGATAGTAGTTTTTACGGTTTTTACAAATTGGAGTGGTTTTCATTTGATCGCTCCTCTATACATATACATATACATATACATATACATATACATATACATATACATATATCTATATAGCGGCTGGTTCAAATACTAACCAAAACTATTGTGCAAACCATGTTAACCCGATCTTGATCGTTTATTTTCTCATCAAATGGTCCTTATTAAATGAGACTATAAAAATAATCATTTAATTAATATATTAATTGAGATGCCTATGAACAACGGTTCAGAGGGTACTTTTGTAAAAACATCGCATGAACACGGTGAACATTTATATGAACACGGTGAATGTTCATGGACATTACATGGATATGAACACCATGAACACCGTGAACATCGGAATTACCTTATGATCAATTAGAGGGATCTTAAAAGATTTTGTAACTCCCAAATAATTATTAGGGAGTTACATAAAGGTCAAATTACAAAATGACCCTTGTATTCAATTTATAAGTTACATTTGAACATAAAGTAAAGAAAGAATGTGATTGGTTGATGTTGGTTAGTAGAGTTAACACAAAAAAATGGGTTAGTATTTGAACCATTCTCTCTCTCTCTCTCTCTATATATATATATATATATATATATATTCCTAAAATTGAAAACACTAGACATACAAGATATCTATGCTACAAAACGATGTCGTTCAGATGATTTAAGAAAAAAAGGTCGAAACATTGTGGTACTGTTGCTCCCCTTTACCGTAAACCGGTTATACTAGCTATAATAAATGGGTAACGAAAAACAAGAAATTGATGATGAAAAGGATACATATTGAATAAGAGTAGGATTTAGGTTTATTTTCTGATAACGAAATTCTATATTTTTGAGCTATAAATTTGATATTTGATTATTAAGAATTAGAGATTTGTTAATGAAGCATAGTTTCAGGAAAAACAATGCATTTTTAATTCTACCGAACAAACATTTATGATGATAAGTTGGTAAAGTTGGGAACCAAACGTTTGATAGCTGTCAAGTTTTTCCGAGCTTCTCCAAACAAGTGTGGTTAATCAACACAAGAAAGCTGGGATGGTTTTTATAAATCAGGATGTAAAAACCTAATTAGAGATCTCTTCTAGAATATATAATTGGATTCCGGTGATAAGGAAAGTTAAGGTAAGAAACGTAAGAATGAACCTCCACCTTGGTTGTACATCAGGATTAGGATGAGATATACCAGATTAATCCCTGTACCACACGCGATTCTTGGGTGAGTTTGAGATTAAAAATGATCAAGGTCCATATTCCTTCTTCCCTTCTCACACGATATTATGTGTGTGTAGGTGAAGAATCGTGTGAGAAGGGAAGTTATGATGAGAAGTATAAAAAGATATCTTAACCCCTTGATCACTTTTATTCTCATGTCCACTGATGAATTGTGCTTTAGAAAAGAATTGATCTAGTCCATTTCGATGCACCCCATTAATGATGACATTCAATTATAATTGATCTAAGGATGTAGATCTCTTTTTATATTTCTCATTATAATTTTTCTTTTTTACTGGAAGCCAACCCTATGTGTGAATGTATATACATATAAGGATGGTATTTAATTGACCCTACGTATGCTTTATAATTAAGAAGGGTAGTTGGTATTGGTAGTAATGTCTACAAGAATCCTCCAAGGGATTCCAGATACAATTAAATATACATAATTAGCCCTCTTTATTTTATTTTATAAAAATAATAAGAAAATGGTGTTGCTATATGAATCCTTAAAAGTGTGAGAATCAGGTCACACCAAACAAAGTGTTTTTTCCGACCAAATTTGCCGTAAAACTTCATTTCTAGCGAATTTTCGGCAGATTTGCTAGCCGGAAAAGGACCACCGCGAAACACTATCTTCGACAGTATTTCTGGTGAATTTGCATTTTTGATAGTCGGGTAGATACTGCCACCAGAACTCCATCAAAATTTTTTTCAAATTTCTCGAGTTAATTAAGTAGATTAATTAAATTTTTCAACAAAAATTCCGTCAGTAATTTTATTAATTAATTAGTTTATTTATTATTAATAAAAAATTATGGCGAATTTGTAGCGGAAGTCAATAAAATGTGACAATTTCTTTTTGACTTTTAAAGAGTCCGTCAAAAATCTGTCTGAAAATCCGTCAGATAATCTGTTGGTGAAATCCTTTTATTTAATAGTGTTAATTCGTACACTGAAAATGTAAAAAGTAAATATTGATATTGATGACTTGATGTGTATAAGGAGGAAATAGATGAATTGCGAAAAAGATAAATGATGTCTGTATTTAAATCAGAATTAAGGTTGAAATCTTTTTTCATTTTACATGAATGTATACATCTTATAATTAACCTATTAAATAAGTCATAGAAACAACTAAATTATACACCTTTATTAACAAATAATCTTTATCTAATTAATAGAATATTCCAATACATAAAATACATGTTTATAATCAAAGCACCATGACTTGTGCCTTAAAAGCTAAAAATATATGAACACTTATTTGTGCTAAAAAAATCAAATTTCTTTATTCATGTTTCTCTCTTTAAATAATATTTTAGATAATTTTCTTAGAAACAACACCCCTTTTTTGGAAAAATTAAAAGAAAGAAAATATTTCTTCAAAAAGATTAGGTTTGTCAATTTATCATTTTCGTAAAAATGACAAAAGACAACGATACAAAATTCAAATTGATAAATGGGACTTTGAATCGTTTATGCTATCATACCCTGAAATAATTATACTTGTGCAACACATGATAGAGGAATTTAAGAATGGTTAGAAGCATACAAGCTATGAATGAAAGTAAAGGGATCTAGCTAGAGGGGTTGTTGATGCATTAAATTTGGTACATATTCATTGTAAGATGTTGTTAATTGTAAGGAAAAAAGAAAAAGAAAAGAAAATAAACCTTCATTCAACATCATTATCTATTTTTTTGTTTCATTTATTACCGGTAGTACAAAGTTACAAATGGTAGAAAGCAGTCAAGGACTTAAGTACCACGGCCCATGCATGAGCTTCTGGTCCTTGACGACTACATTTTGCAATGCAATTAATAAATTGGGAAAAAAGTAAATTGTATAAAAATGGAAGTAACATTGTCTTTGTTTCTGTTTTAGAGAATTAACTTTCAAAACCTTGATTTTGATGAACCAACTTTCAAAATTAATTTTGACACCAAATTCATGTACCCCGAAATATGAAAAAAAAAAAAAAA